TTTCCCTAGTTATTCTTTGGTTTCTATGTGGCATGGGCATTTCAGTAGAGTTTTAACCCAGAGTAGGTCTAAGAGTAGACATTCTAACACACACAGCCGGCCAGGGCAGAGAGCAAGCGTGAAGATGGCTCCAGCCCTGTCTCTCACTCTGAGGCCTGACCCAGGTGCTGGGAAGGCAGTTTTCCCATTATCTTACAAACATTAACGGACATTTGCAACGTGCCTGACACTGTGCTTGGCACAAAAGGTGAATACCGTGTGGACCCTGTCTTTGAGGAGATTGCCTTCTGCTTCACTAAGGACTGGGATGTTGACATGATGCACAAGTCAGAAGGGGGTGCTAGCCAGGACCCCGGACTTGCTGACTGACCTTAGGCAAGTGGCTTGGACCCGTTGGCCCGCTTCCCAGTGTGTAAACTGAGAGCATGACTGCAGACCCAACTCCTATTTATTCTGAGGATTCAAGGATGTTGTACATATGGATGGTTCAGTCTAATCAGGATCTAGACCCCAGATCCTGTCTTCCTAAAACTCTGCTCCAGGAGGCCCAGAAGGGTAAACATCCCCAGTTCAGGACTGAGCAGTACATACCGTATTCTGGTTGGAGCTTTGGTCTAAATATTTTGCAGAAACCCCTAGCCCTGGGGAGTTGGCCTGGCCCCGGCCCCAGAGAGTCACACTGTCTGTCTTGGCGCCTCTGGTAGAGCCTCCAAGTGGCTGAACAGTCTTGTTGGCTCCTTCCCAAGGCTGGGCCTCTCACCACGCTCTGAGAGTGGAGCTTTAAGACCAAGCCAAGCTTCTCTTGTCCACGCTGCTTGGTTGTCTTCAGGAAACAAAGTCTTCTCAATAACAAGGTGCAGGGCAAACCAGGGTGCCCCAGAAACTGAACAAAGACTAGTACTCCCAGGAGTCAGGAACAGGGAGAAGACGTATCACAAGGGACTCAGAATCTGAACCTAGAAGCGATGTTTTGTGTCCCCATGCCCCAAACCCAAATGACCCCAGCAGTAGTTTCCACCTGACTACTTGCAAGCATTGCCTGAGAGTCTGCCAATGGTAAGCCTGTGACCCTCATCCCTGGGTGTTTTCACTCAGTGAGTTAGGGATGGAAGCCCACCATGTGGATTTCTTACAGAGATTCCCCAGCAGATACCGATCCTCATCCAGAAAGGAGGACCCCTGGGTCAAATGCTCTAGTGAAGTAATACATGGAGGGACCAGCAGTTAGCGTAATGGCTATGTCGCTGGACTCCCATGTAGTTGACCACGGTTCGCGTCCCGGACCCGGTGGCTTAAAACTCACGTCGGGCACATGTGCGTGCATGCCCAAGATCCCGAGAAGAGAATGGAGGAGAAGGGATTGTGGGGTGGCCATGGCCCCTGGTGGATGATTTCTCGCTTTCTGTCTCTCTCTCTCTCTCTGTCTGTCTGGTGAGCGCACGTGCCCTAGAGCAAAAACCTCTAAAAAAATGTAATACATGGACTCCTCTCGTAGGACCATCATGAATGTATTTCTAAGTAACCTCAATATTTTTTTTCAGAGTCCCCTCTAGAGTTATCCAAGACAGTGGTTTGCAAATTTTTTATCATACATCTCTATCAGTCAAGACATTTTGAGCATATTCCTCATCATTTAGATACTTGGTCTAATGAACTCATGTATACATTATAAGGTACACCAAAAATAGAAAGTTAAAGAGGATAGATAAAAATTAATACACAGAGAACTACTATTTCTAGTATTGTATTTTCCTCTAGCATCAAATAGATTGCCTTACACAGCTCTGGAGTATCTGCAACCACTTGGGAGCCATTGATCTGGGGAAGGGTAAATCAAAATACTGGGAAACTCTAATGGCTAAGCAATGATTTAGGATGACTGCTCTGGGGAGTCAAAGAGTAACCCTGGCTGGCATGTACAATCTGCCTAGAAACACCTTTTCCTTCCTCCCACGCCTATTTAAAGCAAAAGCCTGAATAAAATAATTTAGGTACATGCCTGCCACCCCAGGTGAGATGCTTTGCCTTAGTGAGTCATCCCACCTGGAGACCGTACTTTGGACTTATCAGCGTTCCTCGGTGGCTGAGACTTTGAAGGGCTGACTGACACCAGCTGAACTCACAAGAAACTCATGTATATAAACCAGGCCATACTCATTTTGAAAGTCTCAAAAGTAAGAGTAGAGGTAGGGCAATCCTTTCTAGTGCCTATTTTCCTCCCAAAGTTCCCTATTCTAGACACTAGAAGACCCCGCTGGAATGTTGCTGGGTGATCACGTCATCGGAGCAGAGTAGTCAGTGTTGAAGGATGGCCGAGAATGGTCTGAGAAACCACCACTGGCCCACAGCACCACCTACCTACTGAGAAGGAGGTTCATTCCCCAGAGCCAGTGCACCCTCACAGAGCCGGGTGGGATAAGTGTGGGGAATTTCCTCCGTTGTGCATTTCCCCACTGTTTTGGTTGGCCATCCCCTTTCTGAGTACTTGCTCTTTTTCATGCGGACTGCAATACAGTTGACTGGCTTATGCTTATTCATTAGCAAATGGGGCCAGGCTGTGGATCATTAGTAATGCAACTGGCCCCACTGGACCTAGGAAAGGTCTTAGAATTGCAACCTGAGTATACTATGGACACACGCATGCCTTCTCCTGATCTGAGCTGGCCGAGACCATGGGTGGAGTGTGACATAAGACCCTGTTGGGGTGCTTCCCTCTCTCTCTCTCTCTCATTTTCTGTATGTCTCTCTTCATGGAAGAAATGTTATAAACTTAAAAAAAAAAAAAAAAAAAGGTCAAGGACATATCTCTTGAGCCACACCCAGGTGACCTTCTATCACTCCCTGGACTGGGGAGGCCCACAGCATTTATGAGTTCACTTGCCTACTTCACCTCAGTAAGCAGTGCTAGTTCCCCCGTTTCCAAGTTCTAGGAGGGCGGCTTACTGTCACGCCAGGGTTCATCCATGATCCCAGCTCACACTGCTCTCTTCCACAGTGGAAGTTCGCTCTCCTTCCCTGTCCCCCTCCATATTTGTTTCCCCTTAAAGCAGTCTACTAGAGTAAGGAGGAAGGGTTGATGGAGCCCAATCCACCTCACCCAGACACCAGGAGGTCCAGGCGGCCTCCAGCTCTCCAGGATTTGGAGAACTTTCAGAACGTAACTCTCAAGATCTGGCCTCCCTCCAGCAGTATATTTTAGGAAAGTTTAAATTAAACACAGTTAGGTTCTGCCAGAGAGACAAGTTGCTAGGAGCTGGAGAACCTTCTGAAGTCTTTGACTGGGTCCTGGGCTTCCACCATTAGCAGCGGAAACAGTAAATGTCCCATCTGTCTGGCTCTGAGAGGAAGCGTGAAGCCACATGTGAGGGGGGAACCTCGGGGCTACAAATGGGACAAGCAAGGCCCTTAGATCACAGACAGAGACCAGCACTCCAGTTCTGTCAGAGTTCTCTATTCATTGTGGTTCCCAGTACAGAAACAGCTCTCTTCTAGATAAACGGTTTTAACTTTCCTTGTGAGGTATGGGGTGGAACTTTTTTTTAAAAGAATTATTTTATTTGACATTATTTATTTTAATTTGACCAGAGAGGGACAGAGTGAGAGAGTGAGAGAGAAACAGAGAGAGAGGGAGGGAAAGTGAGAAAGCAAGTCACCAGACTTGAACTGTGGTCAACCATGTAGGGGTCCAGCGCCCCCAACGACTATGCCATCTGCCAGCCCCTGGGGTGGAACTTTTAATGTATTTATAAAGGATGGTCATGTTTAAAAACAATGATTTTATTTACGTACGTATTTATTTATTTTAATTTGCTATAAGGCACATGCACTCACCCACCAGAGAAAGACAGAAAGAGAAAGAAAGCAAATGGCCAGGTCCAAGTCTCAAACTGCAGGCAGCTGTGTGAGAGTCCAGCACCCTAACCACCATGCCATCTACCACTCCCAAGGAGGGCCATTTTTGAACACGTTAAAACCCAGAGTCCTTTCTGAAAGGACTTTCTGGTAGGCAAAGATTTCCCTCAATTTCCTAGAGGTTCTGCCTGGGTTTGAAAATCAAACAAAGACAGATTCAAAGGAGAAAAAGCATACTCATTCATTTAATAAGCTTTCTGTGACATGGGAGCCTTTGCGGAAAGAAAAAATGACTCGAAGGGATGGTCAAACGTATTTATTTTTATGCGGTGTTTAATGAGGAGCGGACAGCTGTAGAGAGATACCACTGGACAGAAGGGCTATGACCAAATGATAGTAACCTGGAGGGATTTAACCAGGCCTGTTCACGTTCTTCTGTGTCCCTGTGTCTTCCGAGACAAGGACATTCCTCTCCTCCAGGGGTAGGGAAGGCACCTTGCAGGCGAGGGTC